TAGAATGGTTTCCTGTATATCAAGAAAATAATGGTATGCTAGAATAGACTTAATAACTTCTAAATCAAGTTTGGGAGCATTGAGCTGATAAATCTCACCTCAAAGAGGTGAGACTTAACGGAATTTGATTACACTAATGAATCAGCTCTAGAATTAATTATAGGATAACATAAAAAATGATATGCTAATTAGGCTTGCTTTGGTGAATCGCGAGCACACTCAGACACTTCAGTCCTCGGTATTCGCTGTTCTTTTTCAAGGGCAAGCAGAATTGCATACTTTTTTCATTATATTATTTGGGATTAAAAAGAGGTCAGCGTGTTAACAAAGATGGTGTACATCGTAGTCTTGGAAACACAAATTTGAGTAAGGAGATATGTTAACTAAATTTAAGCCCTAGCTCGATTTAAAGCATGAATTCAATATTGAATTTCGATATGTTTCCTGGTCTTGTAGGCTAATTTTGGGTTTAATAAAGATTTCAAAATTTTGTATATTAGGAAAGAAGCTGGGAGGCTACACACTATTTTATACCTATTCGAAATTTTTGTTCTAGAACCCCAAAGTGGCCTATATACAATGTGATATAGTATGCAAGCATTATTTTCAATTAATGCTAAATACAAGCTTAGCAATGTTTATATCAGAATGTTATCTTCACGCTGGTATTGTAATAAGAAAAATGGAGCAAAAGAACCCTTTATAGTTGTGAACAAATACTTTCAAAACCAATCTATTGAAGTTACTACTAATTGTATAGTTCCATATTTGTATCTTTTTAAACAAGAAGCAGATTTTAAAGAAAAAAATTTAACAATCCTTAAACAAAAGAAAACATATGGAAATATTAGTGGCATATATAAAAAAGCACTTAATAAAGCATTGCAAAGCAAGGAAAAATCTCAAGAATAAATAGAAATGCTTCAAGATTTTGTGGAAAATGATATTGATGATTGGTTAGATTTAGAAGATATGCAGCAGGATGATCATTTGGATAAAGAGAATATTGATCCATCCATTTGTCAATTGCAAAATCTGAAAGTTCGTCATGGTAAAGGCGTCCGGTTTGTACTAAAAAGTATAAATCAAAATATGAAGTGTCAAAAGTCAAGGCAAATCAATAACGATGTAAAAAATGTAAAGGTATTGGGCAATATCAAAAGAACTGCAAGGAGGGTTAGGAGGATTTATTTGATTCATCTTATATATAAATTGCATTTATTATAATCAAATAATAAAGTCAAAGTCACATGACCATTGATCACGTGATATTATAATTAATACCTAAGTCACATGATCTACTATCACGTGATATTTAGGGTCTAGCGTTATATCGCCATGGCGATATTTTATATAACCCTTATTATTTTATTCTTTTTTGAATAGACAAATCTCGTAATTGATTTCTTTCTACATAACCTAATACATTTTTAAATCCAATTACATTATATAATACTATTAAAGAATAGCGAAGCTTAAATATTATCTGTACAAACAAAATCGACTTTTTGATTTATAATTTATTAAATTATTATGTTAAATAATAATTTGACTTATTTTCTTAGTTAATATTCTATATATAAAATTTTCTTAAATACTTAAAAGAGAATAATTTTAAATTACAAATAATTAATGCATATAAAACTTAAGTATTGTCTTATTAAAATGAATCATAATAAATGCCAATTTACATACAAAATATGTTACTATTTATTGCCAATAAAGTTTTCCTATTATCTATTCGTCATTTTTAGTAGAGTTAGTCAATTCTGGAAAATACAAGGGCCTGCTTGTATAAAATGCTTTTGAATGGATTTCTTTGTTGAATTTGTTTTTTTCTAAATCTGAAAATTTCTTTTCTTCAGCAAGATCAAATTGATCAGATAATTCGGATTGCGTAGGTTCATCACATATAGAAGTTACCCAACTTCCAAGCAATCCATATAATTGAGATGCAGTTGGACGTTTTGAAGGATCAGAATGCCAACATTGCGTCATTAATTGAGTATAAACATCTGGGGTACCATCAATAATTTCAGGACGAAGGCCAGAACAAATTTCCGTAGCTAATTTAACATCATGTGGCCTATAACACCATGGACGAATACCTGCTGACAGTGTCCACATGCTAATCCCAAAACTGTAAATATCCGCTTCTTTCGTTGGTTGATTTCCTTGTAAGATCTCAGGAGCTACATAAGGAAGAACTCCATATCTTTTATTTGTATTTATCTCATCGACTGGAACATATAAACCAACATCGGTAATATAAACATCGATTGAGTCCAAATCGTTTTCAACCAAAAGATTACCTCCATGAATATTGCCATGAATTAATCCATTTTCATGAATGTACTCAATTGCTTCGGATATTCCCCAAAGCATTTCAACAATATCTCTCCAACAAAGCATACCTTTTGCTTCATCAAGATATGAATGCAAGTCTCCATTTTCATAATACTTCATGACAATCATATAAGTTGAAGTAGGATCTTTAGTAATTCCAAAAAAATCTGCAATACCTCCACTTTGTAAACATTTGTGGTATTTATAAAGCTTAAAAAATTGAATAAAAATTTGTTTATTTATAACTTATTAAATAAATTAATTATTAATAAAATAATTCAAATTATGCCTTACTTGATTCAGAAATTCTTTAAACATATTTTGTGAACTGTTAAGTCTTTTAAGAGCGACCTTTATTGGTCCATTACGTGTCCATTGTCCTGCGCCTTCATCCCAAATACATCGAGGACCTTCTATCCAAATTGCTGAAAAAATTGTACTAAAGGCTCCGCCTTTATATGTATCTTCAACAAGATCAAATTGCTTAAAATCAATATATTCCAAATAATCTACACTTCCAGTTGCGTTTAATTGCGTATATCTAATAAAATCATCGATATCAATATTGCCACTTGTCCAATTTTTAAAATTCGCTTTAAAGGCAGATATTTCACAATCTTTACACCATCCGATGTTGCTTTGTTCCTTACCACAATCTGAGCATCTTTCAAAACTTAAAATATGTTTTCGATTCAATTCTCCTTCTTGTATCAAGACAGAATTCATATAATCAGGATCTCTATTTAATTGAAAAGACATCTAAGAATTAATGTAGAAATATCATTATAATATATTTTAAACAATTAATATAAATTCGATATGCGCAAAATAAAAAAGAAAAAAAATAATAATAAGAGCGGTTATGTTTTGATATCGCAGCGACTACCCCAGCGTAATCTTCACGAAATGACCGGCATTAAGGTTTCAGGCCAGAATTAACCGTGACTACAAGTGACAAATAAAGAGTGACAAATAGGAGTTTGTCAACAAAGGCTAAAAACTATTTCATGAAGGTTACGCAGAAGCATCTTCCTGCGTTGATGAATAAATATTTGTGTTATTAGATCGACTTATCATAATCGACATCTCATCATAATGCAAATATTGCATAGTAAGGTGTAACACATTTGTATGCCAATAATGTATCGACTTTTTTGTTGCACCAAAATTTGTACAACCAAAACTGATATAAGCCTGCTCCTATTTAGTAAAATCAATTAAATAAAACTTACTTAATCGATAAGTTTCAATAAGTCAGTGGATGATTTAAATGCGCGCCAGAAAGTTTTGGATAGATTTTAAAAAACCTTAGCCTTTAAATAAAATTTTTGTCGGTAATGCGCGAACTTTCTAATGATTAAATACCGAGATACACCATAATTATCGTTACGTAATCAATCTAATTTTTTAAAATCTGTGAACGTCGTGTAACGTTACGAAATCGGTTACACAAGTTTCTATTGTATATCAAAAACTATTAAAACCCGTTTTTATTTAAAAGATTTTTTAATTAGTGCAACGTCACGTAATTTAATTCCTTTGCTTTGTAACGGGTTAGCAGCTAAATAATATAATAATTTATTACTTAATTATGACAAATTTTTAGTTTAACAATATTTCATAATCTTAAAAAATGTTCAATGCTCTAACAAAGTAAAATATTCTAATTTTCACCTTTATTATTGAATTTTTAGAAACAACCAATTGGTAGAGGTTGGAAACGGGACGGACGATCATTTTGCAGATCGATAAAAAAAGTTTGGTCAAACTCGGTATAGAATTTTTTGAAGAAAAAACATAATCGCTCAGTGTTTCGAATATATTTTTTACCCTTATAAATGTTCTCGAGAAAGTCTCGGTTATTGTCGGCTGTCCCGTGACTTATGAAATTAGCTGGCCGAAATTCAATTTCTCCAGAATTAAGATTGTTATGATTGCAAAATATTGACTAACTCCGGCCAAATTTTTAGTTCTGGCTAAGTTAATTTTAACCGGTTAATTAACCGGTTAACAAATATTTTAACCGGTTATTAAAAGAATTTTTCACCGGTTCCAACCTCTAATAGATAATGATCCATAGCAACTAATGATTTAATAGATTTTTATAACTTTGAATATAAGAAATAAAATATTAATTAATAAAAAACGATTTACAATTAACTTGATTTTTCTAATTTTAATAGAGCATCATCATCTGATATGAAGGATGATGATGAAAATCAAAGATTTTTCAAGTTAAGATTTAGATTCTACTGATATTAAAATCAAGATTTTTTTCGCATTACAAACAAAATAAGTTTCAAATTTCGATCGTTTGATCCTAGCCTTAAATTTCTTTTGATTAATCATGTAATTCAAATAATGATGTAATATCCCAAACTATAATAAATCAATAGAATCGTCGAAGTCGAATTTTCAAAGAAAATTTTCCTACATCACATTTGGGAGCTAAGCTATTAAAATCAGGTGATAGGATTTCATATTATAATATATGACATATCATATGAACTTTATTTAGTAATGAAAAAAAATTATGATTTGTGGAAATGATCGACATTAAAAACGTAAAAAATAAATAATGATAAAGTATTTATTTAAACTTTTGTGTTTTATATAATGCATTTGGTGCTTCGCAAATTGATACGCACCAAATTAATGGGCGTATCTACTGATTTCAACCGGGACAAATAATATTTTTTATGAATTGAACATTTGATATTATTTACAAATAAATCTTTATCAGTCTCCCTTCGAAATAATTTCATTCAAAAGAAGGATACCGATAGATTGCTTACTCTGGTTTGTCATTGAAAAGATAGATAATAATATCTTTGTAATTTTAATCTAAAATTTTTCTATATTATCAAAAGTTTCTAAATAAAATTTATTGGATCAAATACTGCTTTAAATTAATTATTCAAAATAGCGCCACTTTAAATCAATCAGATCATTTATTAATAATAGATTATATTTGATTAATAAGTATTATATGCATGATTGTTATGAGTCTAAGCAGTTTGATTTCGACCAAAGGAAATATCCTAAGAATGAAGAATAACCGCTTGAATTCAAATGCCGACATAAGAATTTCGTTGAATGTAAAAATTGAATTTGAATGCGGCATTAATTAACATTCGAGACATACAAGTTTATTTAATTTTTTATTTAAGTTACTATTCCATTGGTTCATAAGCCGGCAACAAAATGAATCCAGAACTTACACAAAGTCATGTGGAAACACTTTCGGCGCGGTAATGCAGTGGTTAAATTTCCCATCTATATTAGCATGGCTTAAAGTACATAATATTTACAATTATTTAAATTTATTTGAAGAATTTGATATGTATCTCATCATAATTTGTTTCTTTCAATATTTTTAAATTATCATCCGTTCCAATTTCTTCTGTACCTTTCCACGCTATAACAAATGTCTCACAAATAAAATTATATATTTCAAATGAATCTAAAAATGATATCGAAGTATTTAGATCGCAGATAAAAAAATCTATTTGCCTATATAGTAAAAGCAACGACGATTCAAAAGTTTTTTTCTTTGTTATACGAATAATAAAAAAATTTCTAATTAACTTGCCTGGTAAAACTCTCGGGTCTTTGGCAAAACTATAATAAATCTTATTTGCAAAAACGTCGAAACTCAAAACTATAATGAAATTTCAAAATAAAACTATATTAAATTTTAATTAAAAATCCCTAGGAAAATCTGGCTCAAAATGTTTTTACTAAAATTAATACGTTAAAACCATCATAAATTTATAAAATCGATTAAGTCAAACAATTTCGTTAACTTATCGTTATATTATGAAAACTAATTGAATTTTTAATGAAACA